GTCCAGGTTATGATGCAAGGTTGCAATTAGGCTTATCTTGATCCTTCTCCTCTATCAGGAGATATGTTTCTTACGGAGAAAATAATTCTCAACATGTTTTCGGGTACAGTAAGTTAAATGTAACTTAATCGAGATGCACTTATAAATAGATTATTATTTACCACCAGAAAATGACTTAGGAAGTAGTAATAAATATCCCACCATATAGGAGGGTCAAAGATAACAGTCGCTAAGGATAAAAGCCCAAAGGCCCGATTTTTGAAAATTTCGTCATGCCCAGGAGTCGGGGAGAGGTAATTTTGAAAAATCAGTCGGATTTACACAATTAAAAATATTAATTAATTTTTAAGCGACGAAATTTTCAAGACTTTACCGTATGCTACGAGTCAATCTTTTCTTGTTTTGCAGCCTTCGAACCAGCGAGACAAACTACTTGAATGAGGCCTTCTCTTTTTACTCAGCTATAAGAATGAGAGCTTACTATTCCAAAGCCAACAAAGAGGAAAGGTAAATTTTCTTCATGAGTACATAAAAAGAAACTTTCACAGTAGCATAATTTTAATATTTGTTGTTGCATACTAGATAGAAATAATGTTTTTAGTAATTCATGTTAGAATTTTGGTGTGTTTTTTTAATGTATCTTTAGAAAGGTCCTCAAGTTGAAATAAAAAAAAACTTTAATTAAGTTACACTTTTTTGCCACACTATAAATATGCAAAGTTTTGTTTTGTTAATAGTTATTAGTGATAATGATTATGATAATTATGAATATATATTTTAATTTTAGGCCCGATCTTATGGTGAAGAAATTACGGTACTATGCTAGGTTTATTGTGGTATGCTTACTGCTAAAAAAGATGAAACTTGTCAGGGATTTAGTAAGGGTAAGTTTCACTTTCAGCTCATTCGCATTAGAATGCACATTGATCAATGTTTATAGATTTTTGGGTTTAGCTAGAGAAAATAAAAGTGAATAATAGAAAAATGTAATCCTGTAGGGATGTATTAAATTGTGTCCAAAACATGTCACCAGATAACAAAATTAATTTGTCAGAGGTTTTGATATCTGGGGGACATTTCGGGCTCTTAATTATACTGACCCCTGCGGTGAGAATTACTGCTGTGCTGCAGACATCTGAATCCTGAATGAACTAAATTGGGAATATGATGACATGTTTTAGACCTGGAACAGTTATCAGGTAACATTAACATGTAGGTCCGAATAAGATTTTTTTTTTTTCATTTCCTATAAGGAACTTGCAAAACAAATAGAAGACTACACACAGATCTATGAACCTGAAGACCAGCTGGAGTGGTCACTGGTTCTTGGGGAGATCAAAGCTTTCATTGAGGTATGTACCAGTATTAACTCAATATTATTCTCACTGATAATTCCAGTGGTATTTAGTATTTTTCCTTTATCAGACTAATTTATGTCACCTGATGATGCCATTATATAACACAAAATTTAAAGATGTGACCAAGGCCCAAGTAAAGAGTTAAGGCAGAATTTGAAGAAAAGCAAATCAAATTTATTTTCTTACTAAGTTGGGACATCTATTCTACCATATACCTTTAGCCCCTATAACAATAATCTAAAAAATTGACAATCCAGAATTGAAATAGGGAGTCCAAAAGACAGTTGAATAGTTGCCTGTCAAATGCCCAAAAGAGGCATACTTCTGCTTTTGCTCAGTTTTTCATTTTTCCCCATCAACTTGCCTATAAATCTCACAACACATACAATATATTCTGTGTTTGCCCACATAGTTACATTTGTCAGCACTTCACTGCCACTATAGAGTTAAGTTGGACTTGGCTCATTCCTTTGGAGACAATCTACAGAACTTGACAGGTTCAGGCATATGCTTTTTTTACAAGTGACAAATATTATTTAATTAGATGTTTTAAAAAGATCAGTTTTTGCTGTTTATTATTGATTTGGAAAAGAAAGGCATCTTTGACTAGAACATAAGAGAACAACTTGTGTGGTACTAGAATCTAAAAATTAATATCTTCGACTAAGTTTAGGGTGTCATGTTGAGCAAACAGCACATTATCTCAATTCATTTTCAATTTTCTTCTAGAATTAGCTTTGGAGGGATGAAAATCAATAGTGTATTTATTTCTGTCATACATGTGTAAGTAGTGAGTGTGGATGTGAGCGCGTGTGTGTTAAAGAAAAGAACATCCAATTCAGTCATCTTTATTAAATCATGCCTTTTACCAACAGATTTTATATCTGAATATGCCATATTGTATTTCTTTGTGAATATCTATATGCTATCACTCTTCATTTTTTTAATGGCACTCTTTCAAAAGTCATGGATTATGTGGGATTTCAAAGGATTTTAATGAAGATGATTTAATTCAATAGCTCTGACAAATTGACCTTAAGCTTCTGGTACTTTGATTTTTCAATTTAAACTTGGAACAAATTAAAGTTAGTCATCTATTGACCAGGGTTCCTAAAGCAAGGACTCCAGAAATAGAAGAGAAAAACTGTTATGGCAGTCCTTGCCATATATATGGTCCCTTTGCTGCTGATGATGATGTAAAGATCAGTCATAGCCAAGTACCAAACATCAAAGACTACTGAATACCCTCTCTGGGCTTGTCTGGCAAGTAATTGGCCTTCCTGTGAGCAACCAGTCATTTTCGCCGCATTAATAAAGGAAATTATGGGTCTGTAAAGAGCCATAGGTCTCAGAAGACTCTCCATACAAATGGCCACATATACGATTGAAAGTGATCTAATTTTAGCTCTAAGCTGGAAGCTTATCAAATTATAGACTGTATAAGTATGTGGTTAAAGACAGGCCCCTAAATGCTCGCAACCAGCAACATATTGGTATTTCAACCAAGGGTGCTCTGTCAAGTATTCATGGTCTTGTCTGATTAATTCCCTACACAACAGATCGCTTATGAGTTTGGCCAAAAGGTGAATCTGGCCTTTAGGAACCCAGCTCTTGTATGAAGAACCTACAGGCATGATGTTTTTAATTAGACGTCTATTGTATTAATATTGGTATTCTCTATCTTATTATCTTCTTTGGTCAAAATGAGGGTTCTTATGCATGGATTTTACTGTGAGGAGCAGGGTACATGTATTCTTAAAAGTTAAAAGTTTCCAGTGTGTCAATGTTAATAGACTATTCAAATAGTTATCAGGATATAACAAACTTGACAATGGTAGTACAAATAAATATTGGATATATTTACATGCATCAAATTTGTTAGTGATTGACACATAAGTGTATGTGTGTGTGTGCGTTTTTGTTGACTTTCATCATGTCAGAACATTTATACTTTATAGTGCGTATGCACCATGCATTTCTTTTCCTGAAAAAGTCCCATATTAATGAATTCCTCAGCTTTGGAAATAGGCATCATTATTAACAAGACACCATATGAAATTTTGAGTAAGTTATTGACTAGTAGCATCAAGACGTTGATTTGCAGATGACTTCTTTACCTTTGGGAAATTGCAGTACTCTTTTTTTTCCGTAATTGGTTATTTTTCATATTCTGTTTGCTAAATGTAGCAAATGACAATCCTTGGTGAACTAGGAAGTATTAGATTAGTATCCGTTTTACTCTGTCTAGAGCATCATAAATCAGCCATCTCAAAGAGAAGTACTATGTAGTAGAATTATGTAGCTTATAGTGCAATTTTGAAATATATACAGCTGGATTTTTGCTACTTAATTACAAAATAAGACTTTTTTGGACCACAGCTTTTTTCCCTATTAGAAAAAGATGCATGAGTAAGAAGTTTTTACTTGAGCGTATCATTTCTTTCAAGTATTCAGACTAATTCTGACTTGCTGACAAGCAGTACTCTGCTATCATCCAGCAGTATATTGATACGTTCCCCTATATTGGCTATGACAGGGATTGATCACTTAAGATATTGGTTTTGCATGCATATTGTGTTATGTATGAGTTTCATGTATTACATATTAGATTAAAAGCTTGTGTGGTTTATCCACATGCTGCATTTTGAAGTTCCATGGTGTAGAAATAAACTGAGAAAAAATTTTTTTGATATAACTTCTTACTTGCAACTGATTTATGACATGATTGGGAATTTTCGTTAGTTTCTTGTAAAGTTGAAATGCAGCAGTTAAGGTAGATCGGTCGTTACGTAATTTGACGATTTGCGCAATTTCAGCGCATCGTCAATCGTCTCTAACGACACTTCAGTCTGTTTTATCAATTTGAGGAAATAAAACAATTATCTATAAGATAAACACACATTATCAACTTGTCTGTAACTCTGTATGATCGATACAGATTTTCGACATTGTTTGTCGACTATGAATCCATACGACAACTGTAGCACGTTCATAGACTTGCCCTTCAAGAAATCGTCGGAATAGCTCCTTTTACAATTTGAATTGGCACTAGAGATGTATGACAACTAAAGCTCTCAAATTATGCACGTAGATGCTATATCATGTAAAGAATAAGTGTTGTAAATTCCAATCAAAGCGGCTGCGTACATTTTGAGGTAGAACGCCCTGAATGTGCTGCAAACCGCAGCTTAGATTTCGACGAAAACCGGAAGTGCGTCGTACCGCCACTCATTTGGACTTAGAGAAATTTGGACTGAGAAATATTTCGTAGCTTATACAAATGTTCAGAAAATGCCCATACAGCTTGAAGATAATTCACTAATCAAAATTGAAACTGCGTTATATTATACAGAAAAATTGTGCACTTCTGACCTTGACTAGTCAGTGTAAACAAAGTGTACTGAACGCACCGCANTGTAACGACCGATCTACCTTAAGTGTTTTATGTGAGTTTTTTTTTTTTTTTTTTTTTTTCTAAGAGAGTGAAATCAGTGCTAATTTTTCAAGGTTGTTTTATATTTTACTCAGAAACCTTACCAGGTTACATGTGCATTTTCAGTAAATTACGTATCATATCTTTCTCACTCATGAATTCTGACTGTGTGTAGAGGCCATTCAAATGTCTAACATAAAATGTTATCAAAATGCTTCTTCCCACCTTTTATGATAAACAGTAAAACAACCTCTGTGAAGGAAAGAATTTGAGGTTCAGAACTGGTAGAACTATTATGGGATAAGCTGTTGCTTTTTGTGTGAAAATATCAATTTTGTTGCCAGATTATTTATAATAGCTAGGTTTTCCTCAATCCAATATCAATTGATGAAGTATTGAGACATTTAATGGAGTGCTTCAAACTGAGCCACTTCAAAGGAGGCTTATTGACATTTCACTGAACAGGGATATTATTTCCTGGAAAGTTGGTTGAAAATAGAAAGAGTGCAATAATGATACCACATTTACACAATTATATGTTATTTTGTCATGCATTAATCATTTGCTGTTGTGAGATGAGAACAATAAAGGAACCTTTAAGTGCAGTTATACCAATTTTATGGTATCCCATGTATAACCAAGGTTATTTATCTACAACATAAATTCCAAGCCTTTATAAAATTTATGCATAAAAGGAACACATATTTAAAATTCTACATATATATTAATTCCTGGTTGTTTAACTTGTGATAATTTTTTTACTTTGATATCTGTAGGCAGATGTCCCTGTCAATGTTGTAGATGTGGACTCCTCACCTATTGTATTATCACATCGCCTTACACCACTAAACACGCCACCTATGGAGCAGGGGTCCTCTGTCTACCTCACGCTACAGGAGATACTCATAGTGGGCAATTGTTACGAACAGGTGTGAGGGAGGAGAGAGATTAAATGATTATGTCAATAATAACAGTGGATAAGAGTATAAATGATAATAGCTGATTAAGATCATGATGGTACCTTACCACTTTTGCAGCTTTTGACCTATACACATTTCATGGCAAATATAATACAAAAGTAGAAAAAAAAGACGACAGATACATTCAGATGCCTTCGTATAGAAACACACACACATACACAAACACACACACACACACACACACACACACAGAGTAGTTAAAATGGATATGTAAGATTCTTTGTAATCAGTAGATTTAAAAAGAAATGCATGTATCTCTGTTTTTGCAGGTAAAATTTAGTGAACTTACATTAGACATGTTTAGAATGCTCCAGACCCTAGAGCGAGAACCCCAGGAAGATTTATCCAATCAGCTCTATGACCAGTCCCCAGCCCCAGGGAATAAACCTGGATTTGTAAGTCTCTTCCTTTGTTGAGTTTGATATAAGAGTTGAAGAATTGTATAAATTAATTCAGATATTCCAATGTAGAGCTATAGATGAATTTTTTATATAATACTAGATGGCAAATGCCAAGAATATGTAAAAGGACATCTGTTGGAAATATTTATGTATCAGAAGCTAACAGCTTGCATTCAAGAATACTAAAGTCTTATTGAGTTGACAAGTGATCTGTTTATTGCAGGAAAATGGAGATAAAATCAACAAAAGGGACAACCCTCACAAATATCTCCTGTATAAACCTACCTTTAGTCAGTTATACACATTCCTGGCATCAGGGTTCAAGGAACTGCCCCCAGGGGGCGCTATGTTAGTCTATGTGTCTGCTGATGGTAGTTTGGGGAACATGAAAGAGACAGAAGATGGTGAGTGCATTTTTGTAATGGTATCTGGGGAAGCACTATTTTACTTGTTTCTTGCCATTTTTTAAAAACTAATTTTAAATTAAGACCATTGATGAACAGAAAAAAAAAATATATATATATATATATATTTATTTTAAGTCTAAACTCCATATGAATATGTTCGTTAGACTTTACAAATATGTACATACATATAACAAGTATACAACTGGTCAAAACACGCTGTGTACAATCTCGCCTCCCTGGGGAGGAAGAAAACTAAATATGGATCATTTCCACTCATCAAATGATGAAAAGATTTAAAGCATTTTGAATTAATTACCTGACAGTGCATGAAAATATATACATATGGACCATGAATGATGGTTATTGTTTTTATTGTTATACAAAATTTTCAGTGGCATTTGACTTTGGAGGGGTTGTTACAAACAACAAAAGAGAAGGAGACGCCTTCAACAACAGAACAAAAAGACCTGCTCATATCAAAGAGATGCACTGGTGGGTATACAGTTTGTTATTGGGATTGAACGTGACCTAAAACTTAGGGGGGCTTCTTATAAGCCCAGCGTAGTAGCTGGATTGATCTAAGTCTGCAGGGATTCTCGCTAAATTGAGTTCAGTGTAAACGGCTTACATGTCTGGCACACCTACTCAAGCTGCTAGTGGATAATTAATGATAGTCAAGTTACTCAAAGGGTCCTATCAGACAAGCTGATTTCTCTGAAAGGACTTGAGAAAGAAGCCCTGTAGAGTAAGAACGATCCAGCTAATACGATATGTTTATGGGAATGCAGTCTAAGAATTTTGCAGGAAGGACAAATATGCTCAATACCATGCTTACTAAGCACTGATATTTTAATTAAAATTGCAGTCACACTTGTGTTCCATAACTAATAGATAATGCAAATAAAAGCACAGAAATAATAAATAAAAGCAACGAAAATGACCAAAAAAATGAAAATCTTATCTTGAGTCTTAAACAGTTTCAAGTTCTTTTCTCTTAAAAATATTTGATCTCCTGACTGTCCAGCTATAAATGTTAAGTTTTTTCTTGCAGTCTTCATCCAGGAGATGTCTATCCCTTCACCAGAAAGCCTTTGTTTCTTATCATTGACAGTGATAACAGTACTGCCTTTCAGGTGAGATTGCCCACTGGTAGCTGCAAACATTTTGTGTTTTCTCTTTCTGAGATTATTAATGTAGTGTGTGTGTGTGTGTGTATGTGTGTGTGTGTTAGAGAGAGAGATAGAAGGCATGCATCCGTACCTGCGTTCGCATTTTTCTTTTCAAAACACTGACAATAGAATGTACAGGAATATAAAACATATATAGCAAATTTATATTTTAACTTTATAAAATAGACTTGTATGAAATAAAATCTACATGTGTATAGTGATTCATCTTCTTCAGAACTTCCCAAATTTGTTTGGTCAGCCTATGGCATGTTTATTGTCACCAGAAAATGTGCCTGCAACAATGCAAGGTGAGAAACAATATTCATTATTTACAATCATGTACATGAACTAAAATAAATAAATGTACTTTTTGGCCAATCTCAGAAACCCACTTGCATCTGATCCCAATGTTGAACTACTGACTCAAGAGTTGTTTCATTTAAGCCAAATTTCACCCGCCAGTACAATTCTTTTACTAGTAGTACTACAAGTGAAACAAGTAGTAGTATTATTGGCTATGCTGAAGTATATTTTGAGAAAAAGTTAATATCTTTTGTTTCAGCCAACGATAGAATAAAAAACACCTACAAAATATATTTGCAGAAGAGGTGCTACATATAATACATGATAAATCCTTTCTTTTAGATCAACATCAAAAAGGTAATCTGTTCACAATGTTCCTTCACAGCCCTCTAATGGGGTTTTGCTATGTCTGCAGCATCGTTGACATTCCTATTGCACTGTGGGACAAATGTCAAGGCCACATTGAAAAGTTCATGGCCGAAGCTAGCAAGGTGTTTTCTAGGTCAAGGTCATTAGGTGAGTCTCTGACAAAAAGACTGTTTTTGTTCTTAATTTAATATCTGTCTGTCCTCCATTTTTTTCCTATCTGAAATATAAGCTTTTTTTTTCAGCCAGCAAACTTTTTTAGTAAGATTGGATGTGACAGCACTTAGGGAATTTAGTTATTGGTAAAGAATTATCTTTTGCTTTCAGATCATGCATTTATGCAGTTTTATGGTGATGACTTTCTGAGGCTTCTGATGCTGAGGTTCATATTCTGCTGGATAACTCTAAGGTTACACAGAGGGTTCAAGGTAAGAGAGCATTATCACATTGAATGCATTGGTTTGTCTTACACACTGTGATACTTAGCACTGTCACAACAAACACACTGTATGTACGTGGCACTTAACATGTTAGAAGTGTCAGTTTAACACACACTGACACCTTGCACACACGCAACAATCACAATAAGCATATACATGTATCTGAACAATGAACTATCAAAAGCATGTTGATGAAGTAATTTTTGCTTTTTTGCTACCCGAGATAGGAGATATATTAAGCAACAAGTCAGCTTACACATTCACAGATTGTAAACACCAACAAAAGACTCTTTCTTTATTCTCAATGCAGATTTTCAGAAAACATTTGAAAGAGTATTTTTTAACAACACATTTCTTTCTCTGCCCCCAGGGTCCCAGTTATTACCCCACAACCCAGCCCCCACTTCCAGAGGATGAGATTCTCCACCAGGCATCGCTCCACAGGCTGGTCATGGACGTGGCATCCACCTTAGAGGTGCGAGGACTCTTTGGGGACCTCACGGAGGTGGACTGACAATTAATGCAGGAGAGCACAGATGATGGAGCTCTCTGGATCTAGAAACTAGTGCACATCAAGGTGCCGTTACTCTACAGATTTGGTATTAAAAGTATGCTATGATACCTAGACTAACTCAAACTTGGATTTAATGTGCTGGTAAATGGGATGAAATATTTCACCCAAATGATTTTTTTAGTCTTTAGATGTGCCTGAAGTGAATAAGAAAACGTACACAGTATCTACACGATCATTTCTTTTATCCCAAGTAAAAAAATTGGAAATTGGGCAATATCTTTGAGGTCTGACATGCCCAGTGATGTGATGCACTATTTAGGATCTACACTAGTTTTACCAAGGTCATTACCAGTGCTGTGTTTAAGTCAGTTTATCAGCTGAATTCCTTTTTACACTTTAATTAGGCATCTTTTTTTTATTGGATCTAGTCTTACGTTGATGAAAGGTGTGTAATGTTGTTTTCTGTCAAATCCTAGATGTGCATTTTTTTTTTCAATCAAATGGGGTGTATTTCATACAAAGATGTAGTTATTAAAAGTAATAACTAACCCACCTGCTCATCCCTAAACATGATAATATTTTTCCTAATTTTAAAGTTTTTGTACCATGTACAGGACAAAAAAACACTTGTTTCAAATTTTCTAGGCACCAGTAGTCCCTTTATCTAAAAGACATCATGTATACCATCTTGTAATGAGATTTAAACTTGACAGTTAAATGTCGGCCTTATTTTTAGCATGTGTATTTTAAATAAGGATATGGAAGAATGCAGAAGATCTAAAACCTAGTATGTTTCAATGCATATTCTGATTATCAAGATGTATTTGTGTATTCTTCCTCTGCCTGATATGAGCAAGTGTAAACTGTGACAGGGTACCTGAACTGAAGACAAGTTTATATTTATTCAGTGCATAAACGTACTGAGAAAAAATTATTAAGCATTTAAAAAAATCAAAACCACACACGTTCACATATATAGATATAGCTTTTTAGTAGTATTCAAGTAGAGAAAAAACNCATGCCCAGTGATGTGATGCACTATTTTAGGATCTACACTAGTTTTTACCCAAAGGTCATTACCAGTGCTGTGTTTAAGTCAGTTTATCAGCTGAATTCCTTTTTACACTTTAATTAGGCATCATTTTTTTATTGGATCTAGTCTTACGTTGATGAAAGGTGTGTAATGTTGTTTTCTGTCAAATCCTAGATGTGCAATTTTTTTTTCAATCAAATGGGGTGTATTTCATACAAAGATGTAGTTATTAAAAGTAATAACTAACCCACCTGCTCATCCCTAAACATGATAATATTTTTCCTAATTTTAAAGTTTTTGTACCATGTACAGGACAAAAAAACACTTGTTTCAAATTTTCTAGGCACCAGTAGTCCCTTTATCTAAAAGACATCATGTATACCATCTTGTAATGAGATTTAAACTTGACAGTTAAATGTCGGCCTTATTTTTAGCATGTGTATTTTAAATAAGGATATGGAAGAATGCAGAAGATCTAAAACCTAGTATGTTTCAATGCATATTCTGATTATCAAGATGTATTTGTGTATTCTTCCTCTGCCTGATATGAGCAAGTGTAAACTGTGACAGGGTACCTGAACTGAAGACAAGTTTATATTTATTCAGTGCATAAACGTACTGAGAAAAAATTATTAAGCATTTAAAAAAATCAAAACCACACACGTTCACATATATAGATATAGCTTTTTAGTAGTATTCAAGTAGAGAAAAAACCCAAGTGTATAACACATTGGTCATCTGTTGTTTGTGTAATTGACAAAAGTTCATTTGAATGTGTGTATACTTTTTTGTGCATTTACTCAGTTGTGCAGACTTTGTATAAAGAGTGCAGTGGACTTTTAAAGATATCAAGCTCTTGTAAAAATATATACATAAAGAAGCATGCATGGACTGTGCAGTGACTGACAGGGTTAACTGTGTGTTTACCGGATATGTTCACATAAGACAGTTTTAGATTGGAGATAGACTTAACTGCCTCACTGACACAGCTGAAGGCATTGATTGTGTTTCAGTCCATGCATGAAATGTAACCTGGTCATTTGGTGAGTTCAATCAGTTTGTTTGTGATCAAAGTTGGACCTGAAATGATACTAGATATGAATTGTAATGTGTTATATTTTTCCTTTATTTACATATACAACTAAGCCAGTAAAATTTCTTTAATTTAGAAAGTAGGTAAGTTATTTTTTCTTGAACTGTGATGAAACTTAAGCTCCGTATAACAGAGAGTCCACCCTCCATTTAATTATGCAGGTTAGGGTTAGCCTGAAGTGATTGGGTCAAAATCTAGGGCAAGGCTTGTGCAAATTAATGGGGACCGGACTCTCTATCATTGGAGAATCTGTCACGTCACAAATTATTTTTTCTTGAACTAACACAATTAATATATATATATATAGGTTTCATTAATTAACTTACATAGATTATCAATATATGTAACAACATGGAAACGGGCTCTGCAGCACACTAACTTACATAAATTTCATGTCATATTGTCTCATCAAACTTATGATTTAATTTCTAAGCATAGGGGGCCATTCTCATCAAGTCATCCTGCCCACCACCATTGCCATTAGGCTGCTTGCCATGCATTGCAATGGGGTTGGTCAGGTTTCATGGCAAGGTTATCTTAGATATAGTGTGGTAAGAAGTAAGGCTATCACAACTGAATGTAAATATGTCTCTAGTGGTAACTTATCACTATAGAGTAGGCTCATTTTACTGAACACACGTGGCATTTACACTGCCCGCTGAGAAAACTTCTGACAAGCTGTCATTATGCCTCAACGTCTCCCTAAACGTTAAAAGTAGTACTTCCATTTGTTTATTGATTTGAAAAAGGATTAATGCCAAACTTTGGTGAGTGTTAGGAAGCTTTACCTGTACACAATGTTACGTCACGCTGGGGTCACGTGGTTATCACGTGGATACTTGAGCATTGATGTAGTACATGTAGCCACGTGGTGCAAACATATTGTGGATTATGAAAAAAAAAAAGGATCCAGTCTATTGATTTTACTTTGGTTGGTTGCGTGGCCGTATAAAGCGAGTCCTCTGCTGGCGTATCGACTGACTGACCCTCTGGCAGAATTTTTAAATGAACTAAGACTGGTTAACAAATTCCCCTTTAATTAGGATAAGTCAATCTATTTTGAAACTGATTAATGTTGTTACAACGTTAATTACTGTAGATGTTTTGTATCTGTGGAGATCAGTACAATGATATGTTAGGTTTTAGTTTGGCAGATTATTGTTTGTGTGTTTTAAACCAGGACTTTTTACATCCTTGTTTCATGTATTCTGGACATGCTCAAAACATTGTTTTTCGTTGCTTTAAGAACATTCCTTGCGTTGTCATTTTGTAAGATTTGTATTACAAAATATCAATAAAACAACTATGATGATTAAGCAGTGTGTTGTCATAGAAGTGTATACATCGCACATATACATATACAGCATCTCGAATTGTGCGTGTAATGGGAAGGCTGTTTACAAAGTTTACAAATAGACCTTTTCGACCAAGCTATGCACGGCAGCCAGTATCCACCTTTTGATTTTGTGACTTCTCTTCTTTGAAGTACTTGCAGACTAAGTAAGTTACTTACTCAATGGGAAAGTCCTGTTAACATAGACGGTATGCTAACCTCGTTTGAAAATGACCCAAAATCATTTCAAGTGTCTAAATATACGACAAACCTACTTATCTTTCCCAATCCAGACCTTAAAATGGATAAAACCAATAAAAGTTCTTAATGTAGATATTTCCTAAAATGTAGAATGAATGAGGCATGGTCAGGGACAGCCACCCAAACTCTATTTCTCCTAGCACTTTTAAGTTTTTAAAATCCGTTTCAGTGACTTACAAAAAAGTTCAAATGCGTTGCGGTTGAAAAATGCGACTTTACAACGGCTTTTTGTGTGCATGCTTTATATCTGATCACGGAGATCTCAAGTCTGCTCAGTCTTGTATCGCTGAACACGCGGCTTTGACCTTTAACTATAATTTTCTGTGCCTTTGGTCATTATTATTATTATTATTATTATTATTATTATTATTATTATTATTATTATTATTATTATCGCAGCAGATATATGATGCCTCTGTAGTAAAAGCTTCAATCTGTTAAAATTTGAAAGTAATAATTATTACCTTTTTAAAGATATTTTACATTAAAGTTCGCTGGGTTCTTATTTGCATGTAAAGAGATATTGAAGAGAATCAAATTGTAGCGAATGTCAGCAAATTTTAATCGATATGACATTATATTTCGTAGAGGGCTTCTTTTTATCAGAAATAAATATTTCAGAATAGTACTTTGAAGCCACACCCTCAATCCCTTATCAAGGAGTTTTATAAATCAAAAACCAATAAAATGGGAATCTCAATAATCGGGAATTTCAAAGCTTAAGAATTCCTTTTCATTCGTGTTGGAATTGTAAGTAATAATAAGATTTTTACCGACTTCACTCTGTTATAATTATCTTTTGGTAGTCTGACGGTACTGCACATTCTCACGGCTGAATCCACAGCATTTGGCCAAGGAATCGACTTTTGACTGATTGCGATCATTCTCTAAACCGTGTTGAACGTGCGCTTCTATGACTGCTACTGCTAGTTGAGAGAAAGCAATCTTACGGAGGTTATTTGAAACAGGCTGTTCTACTCGCCTTAAACCTGGATTCCAGGACAAAGAATGTTTTCAATTTTTAGCCCCCCAAGAACTAAAAACAGAACTGCCAATGTTATGACCGTTACGCGTGCACATATGTTCCTAGTCGAAAGCCAACATTTAACATGTCGGAAAAAACTCAAAACACACGCTGGTTACGTTTTCTGAAAAAACAAAACCGATTTTATGGCATTGCCTTCACACAAAAGTCATCGATGTATTTTCCTTTTAACGTTATAGTTGTTTAATACTTTTAAAATGCCCATAACTGACAAAGCAATGGATGAAGATTTTGACCCGTCGTCCATGACCGCGTTCACGATAATTTTGATTAGTATCATCCGAGAAAGCCTAAAGCGAGGCTGCCAGCACCATATGATGCCAATTGAGACTAGACTGTGCAGGAATCCACGTGAGGTTTGGTTAACTTTTTAGCAATAACGGGTGAAACTCTGTCCAGGAGTCGGGAATGTTGTCTAAGAAAGCAGTACAAAAGTGGCACACAAAATACGGAGAATTCGCACTGTAGTGCAAAAGACTGTAACTCAAGGATACTTTAGAGAAAACTATCTGTAAAATTTCCTCAGACGAATTCCGTCAGGGTTTATTCGTAGTCGCACCGCACCGGCTAGTCTGCTATTATTTCTGACCCCACTCTCAGCAAAATCCCGCCAAATTTCGCTTGATTTTAACGCAAACTACCGCCACTTCGAACTGTCTAGGAAAATTTAAAAAAAAAAGGTTTGCTATACGAAGAGGTGGTTTTAAAGTAATTTATTGTCTGGCACATACTGGTGAGTTTTTAATTCGCCTGAACACCCCCTTTACGGGTCGCTTACGTGGTTGCCAAGGTACCGCTGCTAGTCGAAGGAGCTATTCTTGGAACAGTGTTAAAACTTGAAACAGTATGGGGTTGCTTGCTGTTTCTTACCGAGGTGGTTTGGCAAATGATTACAGTCCATCCGCGTTTATGGCAAAGATGTGATATATCGTAGATCAAAACTTAGATGATACATCTGCTTTTTATAAAAGCAATTATTTTGTTTTAAGGAAAATGATTTGCCTTTAATTTTTTACAAAATAAATAAATAATAATAATAATAATAATAATAATAACTTGCTTATGAAAACGAATAATAAACAAATACGAGTGAGCTTTACGAAAGGGTTATATTCGCACAGTAAAAACAACAGTAAGTCAGAGCTGAAAGCTACTAAGATATAAGCCTTAAATGTCAAGGCCTTGAAAATACAATGTAAATCCCAGTTGCGGAGGAAAACAAAGCAATTCCCAACAAATAACATCACCTAATATAAGGCAGCTTTATCAAATTCCATAATAGAATCCTGCAGGCAAGAAAGATGCAGAAAACGCTGCTGTTTTTTGTTTGCCTACGTCTTCACGTGTCCGCGCGTGAGCCACGTGAAGAGTTGCCAGGACAAGCATGTTTACATTTCATGGGAAAACTTTGTTTACTAAAAAGGAAGACTCATACATGTGAAACATGTGTACAGACTATATAGACTAATTTAAATTATAATTATGAAAATGGAATTAACCCAAGGCTTTTATTATTGCATTTGGTTCAGTTTAAAAGGGGCAACCAGGGTACACACTTGCAGTAGTGGTTGCCTAACAAAAAATGGATGGAATAATGTTTGGTTGATAGCCTACTGAAATAGCGTGCATTAGTCGAGAAAATGATGGTGTTAATTTTCCCATTTTCTCTCAACATCATCTGTAGCATTATCTGTTGCAACCCCTTTCAATGTATGCGATTGAAATATTCTCCAGGCACATTTCTATTAGATACGATTTTATTTGGATGCCAGGTAAAGTGTTATTGATTGCCAACTTCAAAACACAAGAAAAAAATCCCACAACATGGTAAGAGCATGACGATTTTGAAGCCATTTTCCCATATTAATCATCCCCCAAAATCATCCCATATTATTTGAGCATGACGACTTCTACTGAAACAACGCACCTCTGTTAGAGCTTTGGTGTGTTATGGCTCACAGACGTGGAATCCGCGCAACTATTTATACAGTCTGTGAAAACAACAGCTACGTAAAGCATGAAATAAAGTGAATTTTCTTATGTACAGTTACAGTGTGTTTGTACGTACATGTACACGTGTAGCCATCTCTTGCGTCCGTCGTCGTCGTCTGCGACGCCGTCGTCCTGCACTTTTCATCGTTAACGCCATTTATGAAAGTCGAAGTGACTTATTACCCTCAACCTTACGTGGGTGATTTATGGCATAACTGGGGTAAATTACAGGCCAAGTACGAATTTTCGATTTTTAAAATTTTTTTCATTTTTGTCATTTCAGTGTATGACTTTAAAATACCATGGTGCTGAGGCCCTATGCTAGTTAATTTTGTATGTCCATTTTACCCCTAGTACATATGTAGAAATTGGTGGTGATTATGCTGTTAACTGTAAGTAATATTGCGTCACAATTGACAAAAACCCGCAGATTAATTATGTGTACTTTTCTCTGACACGACAGCGAAGAAATGTGCCATGAATTAGCCAGAAACATATCTGTGAATATCTAATAAAAAAGCAACCTGTGGCCCTAGTAGAAGGTAATTTTTTGCAATGTCACCATAAACACTAGTAAACAAAGGAAAGGAAAGTGTTACTTATTATGCTCTTACTTGAAAGAATGATTCTTCAAACTAAAATACAGCCTAAATTGGAAAACCAACTTAATTGGATTATTTTAATTGAATGTATGCATTTTTTTTTTTTTTTTTTTTTTTTTTTGTAAAATTTTGATCTTTAACATATTGGCATTTTCAGTGTGTGACTTTGAAAAATTCACAATAAAACTTTATTGTACACTAGTATCATTATTTTCTGCTTTGTGTCTGTACATTTGACAGCTTTGTTGCCTTTTGTTTTTTTAACTTGTCGATCAAACGCTTAAATTCAAATATTCACACTTTTTTGCTCTTACTTTATGAATTATCCTTTATGAAAATAAAAAAAACCCTTCCAATTATAGTTAAAGTCCTAACCTTTTAATTGACAAACTGCCACGTTTCGCACATTTTTCTGACCGATGTACTACTATAAACAAACTATTATCATTATTATCATCATACCAACTGCATCGCCATCGTATTACTGTATTTTTTCTTTCACCTAACTTAAGTCTTTGAAGAATACACTGTCATCGAAAAAATATTTCCCAGTTTGAAGATGCAGGTTTTCAATGTGGTAAAGAAGATTGCAGTAAAAACACTATAACTTCTTCCTCTTCATTGTCTTTGAACTGTTGAGACCAACAGTTGTGTAAACTAATTCCATTACTCAGTAAAAAAAGATTGAATACATCAGATTCCACTTATGTGTAAAGACAGGTTAAAGTCACATGGGGCACGAAAAACAGACTCTGTCCTATAAATTCGCCCCAAACAAGTTAGCTCATAATATTTAAGACAGCCCACGGCGTGCTCGCTCTAGTGCGCAAGCCGAGAGACCTAAACAGACTTGGAGCCGTTTTTTCGAGCAATGATGGAGAAGTCGCTGCTGATTTCCTTTGCCATCATGGCTTTTGTTGGTACGTAACGTAAATTGAAAAAAAATTAGCAATTTTTACATAGCTTAACTAGCTACCAAAATGAAAACTTTATTTCAACTTAATTTGTTTATTAATCTTTTTCTCTTCTCTCCACGCGGAGATACAGTTTAATGTTCCTGCCTTTAGATGTATGCGATCACTGTGATTTTTAATTAGGATATTCAGGAATTTGTTTTATTATAATTATTATTTATAATTATTATTTGCAGCAATATTTTGGTTTACACCTTATAAACGATTCTTCATTATTTGAAAGGTGGAAATGGTTTTCTTAGCAAATTCTACAAGTATTTTGTCTTCACCGTAAAGGTTTCCTTAGCCCATAGCATCATAAAGTGATTGGTACTATTCAAGAAAGTTCAATGCCCTATCCTGTCACGCTGAACGTTTTCTTGTCTGGCTTTCCTTTTTATTCGATTCTGTAATTAAGTTTTGGTCTAAAACAATTCAATTTTTTAGTTTTTAATTTCAGAAAAAAAATACACGATTACAATCCTCTTTGTAATCCCATAGTTCGTAGTCCATACTTTATGGCAGGGTACTGCATCATCATTAAGCCCAGACTATAATGAGGCTGTTGTGTGTAGATCCGAACAGGGTTTTTGTACACGTGTTTGGTGAACGATTAAAACGCGGTGAGCGATGTTCACATACATTTTTTCTCTGTTTCTAGTGCTGATAACCAACGCCATAGCAGCAAGTGTCGACAAAGAGGGTAAGTGTTGTTGCCATGCTATTTTATTTTCTGCAAGCGTTTTGTAATCTGACGGTAGTAATATAGTTAGAATGGGAAGAGATTTAAAATCTACCCTCTGCCAGAGCTGCAGATTAATTATCTGCACTTTCACCGCCACAAAGAAGAGAATCGTGTCATGAATTAACCAGAGACATATCTGTGAATATCGAGTGAAGAATCAACCTGTGACCCTGGTAGAGGGTCTGTTAAATTCAGAGATTAATGGGGCGACGTTTTTAAAATGCCATAACTCAGAATGTGACTGTTTATTATTTCTGCTTTTTTGTGCAATCGTTTTAATCCGGGTATTAATGAGACGGCTCTCTGCCCACACTCGAAGTAATTTTGGAAGGACTTGTTCATTATTTTAGTCACATCAATCTAGGACACAAAATATATATTATCTTCTATCCTAGTTTATTGTATTCATTTTAATCGTTTATCAATTAGTCTATTTAGAATCAAAAGTTTTAACTTTAAAAATCAGTAGAAGTTCTAGTAGACGGATATGCTCTTCTTCATATCGGATCTTCAAAAGAAATAATTTTGTTTGTTTTAAATTTAATGTATTTGATCTATATAACTTCTTGGCGCAACCTGATCGATGCAGAAGTCAAGTTGTGAGAGATTGCTACTACGTGTACAAGTTGTTAGAAGATTCTGTAAATGACCAAAGAATTGGCTCGAAGTTATCGATAAGATTTGTTTCTGATAGTCTTTTCGAAAAATTATTTGAAACTCCCAATCCCAATAAGGGTGAAACCCTATGCGCCGGAAATGTCGTCTTAGAAAGCTACTCTCTGACCACATGGTGCGGTAGTAGTTTGTTATAAAATGATTTTATCACTTTTGATTTAATTATAAACGAATCTTTTGGCAATGAACTTCACAGCACACAGCTCCATCCCATGTTAATCACCGAGCCACGATGCCGATGGCAGGCGAGACTTATTGTTTGGTATCTGCTGACGGAAAGAAGTTCTCAAAACAATCACAACTACTGTTACCCATAATTGCATACACAAATTTGTATGTTACTTTTTTTCTCAGCCCTGGTACGGAATGAGCAAGCAGTATTGGTCCGTGACCAAAAGCATAAAACTTTCACGGGGTCTGGTCATCAATTAAGCAACAACCATCTCTTGTATGGCTATTGTGTGGCTCTGTCACAAGTTGCAAGGCACAGACGACTTAATCGTTTTTTTCCTTTTTGTCGAAAAAGTGGAATACCAAAATGCTTACCGTTGTTGCTTAATTTTTCAGTTGACTATGCAAATTTGGGCACGCGACTTCTGCATATTTACACGAAGTATACATGTTCATACAACTCATACAAACAAGCGTTTCACTTATTCTGCTCTGTTAGTTTAAATAAAGCTAATTGTGTAACATTCAAATTAGTTGTTATCGTTTTGCATCGTCACGTACAAAAGGATTTTATGGTAATGAAACACGTATCTAGAACATTTTACCCGTTTTGTTACGTTGTTTGCCTATAAAAGCTCTACAACATTTTACCCAGGTTGCCATGTTTTGATAGTCTTCAGAGTAAGAATTAATTACTTATTCTATACCATTGTCCAACCTGGCATTATTGTCTCCAGTGTACATCCAAGATTCACTAGAACATTAAGAGAATTATTTCCATGTTAGCTGATTTACGTTTTTTTTTTCTAAGATATTATAAAAATTATTCTTTGTTACCACGTCAATGTAAATGTTGTGGGTAGGTTGTAATGAATATCTCAGCAACACGTGTCAATATACTTGTATTAACAAACCCTTGAATCTAAATAGACAACTTCATAAAATTTATTATTACAATAATAATATAAATGAAATAAAGTTGGAAAATAAACAAAGAAAGTTATCATTATTACCATTCTTTATCGGTGCGACTTTAGAAATGAAAGACTCAGTTCAAAATTAGAGACCTGACGTTTATAAATTTTTGTACTAATGTCAGTTTCTTTAACGACTTAAATGAAATACACATACCAAAAACAAAAAAAAAAAAAAAAGAAAGAAAGAAAGAAATTAAAACTCTTGGGCAGCAGAAAGGCCTTTAAAAACTGCACCTACTTCAGATTTCTGGTCGAAATTTTGGCCTGCTAATTTGAGCACAGGAGGTAAGCAGAAAATATAGGCGCTAATATCATTTTTTGGGAAATCATACTCTTCAGTATTTTTAGTCATTCTACTTGACACAAAGGTGCAATTATGTGTCGGGTTTAGCGGCAGTAATATGACAACCTAAATACACGTTTCAGGTGTGGCCTTTGAGAAGTACACAAGTTTTCTTAGATACCTCTCACAATCATCCTTCGCTTTAAGGTCTTCTCTTCGACCATACACTTTAATTTTAAAATGGCAAAAATGGGTTGCCACAAATTAGTCACTAAATCAATCAAGTTTCTGTAATAAAAATCATACGTATAAGCATGAATGTGTCGCTTTACTTGTACAAGCTTTTTGTAAAAATAACAAATATCTAACAGTATTGCGTTACCTTTCTCATTTCAGTCAGTTCTTTAAGAGGTAGTTTGCTGAAATAGTAAATCTTACTTCCATTTAGTGATCTACTAACTTTCCGCAACACATTGTATTGTAACCGTTTTTCCTCTCCTTCCGTAGACCGACTTCACAAATTTCATAAGAGGGACGCCGCATCTGCAAAGGCCTTCCTGCGCTCAAAGCGAAGTTCTAGATGGCGTTATGAGATGGATGAGATGGATGAAATGTACGAGAGTCAGGGACCTTGGGAGTCTACATGGGAATTTGACGACAGTCCCTACGAAATAGAAAGAGACAGAAGGGAAAATGCCCGCGAGGCCGAACAACGTAGACGATTCATGGCCAACTGGAACTATGGACGCAGACACCATTATAACAGACGTCCGACTGTCAACTATTAGACAAAGGAGCAAGAAATCAGTTCTTCCATTTCACTTAAATATAGTCATTTGTACAAGTAGGCTGGAGGTGGGCTTAGATTTATGCTCCATTTTTTGACTGAAATTAAAACTGAATTTAGCCCATGCTAGTCATTAAAGTGACGAAAAACAGTAAGAAAGAAACGAGTAGAACTTTGTCACCGAGTGCAGTTGGGACAAGAACATCCTGACGGACTGTCAATGTACCGGTAGTGGATATTTGCACCAGTCTATGGTCAACTGTACAGTTCAATTCCTCAGTAATTCACAAATGTAGCTTTAAAAAACAGGTTTAACGCACATGTAAATGCCATATGTCAAAACCCAATCGAATAAAAACACTATGGTTATTTCTGTAGTAAAATTACAACGCAGACTGAATCTTACATTTTTCCTTTTGTTGCAAGATCCTCGAAGAGTCATTTTATAGCTCACGCCATTGTCTCCTTAGCTCACTTGTGTTATGTTCCTTTTTATCATTCTTTCTCCAGATCTTCCTTTCGTCATTTTTATCTGTCTCTTTATGTTCCTTTCTTTCTTTCTATTATTTACGTAGCCTAATCATTGGACAATAAGATTTCTCCTGATTATAATTTAATTTACATTTTCATACGTTTGTTCCTCAATAAACTCCCGAGTTTCGGCCTTCCTTAGTGACACTCTGTAGTTCTTGATCGAGTCCGAACGTCCAGTCATCTTGGTGAGGAACAGCTCAAATCAAGCAAAGTTGTACAACTAACGATAAACCAGCTAGTAAAGGGTGATTAACTTTTGTGTGCATTCCGTCCCACTCAAAACGAAGTAACAAAAACTTCCATAAAGCGAAAAAACTTCCAGAAAGTTAATCACTCCCAAACTGCTCGAGGTGGCGTGTCATTCAGTCATGCTGATTGCATTCAGCGAGAGTCCTAGCAGAGTTGGATCGATCCACGCAGAACGATAGTTTCATTCAGAACGCACAACAGTGCAACTAGAGTATCAGTAGTGTGTTAGTTGAGAAATAAAACACAATTGTTTTAATGTCAAATACCTTCAGAGACATTTCAAATGCGTTAGGTGCCTCTGTATAACAACTGCCACAATACATATATGCCACCCTACAGTAATTTGCAACAATACAGCCAAAACCTTTGGCTAATGTAAATCTAGCAGCATCAAATTATTAGGCAATTTTTCCGGAAGTGCCTTCTAACTCTAATTTGTTCTAGGGTTATCTCTATTGATTTGTGATAGTTAAGATTATTTGAAGAAGAAGAAAGATGGATCTTTGATGATTTGGAGCTAAATTTCACTCTGTCCTTTATCTTTATAATGATCCAAAAATTCATAAAAAGACATGATCCAGTCTGAGGAAGTTGGGGGGGGGGGGGGTAAATAATTTTTTTTTACACAATCCTCTGCCCCCACCTTGTTCATATCCTGTCTACGCCAGTGTTAAAGGAATAATGAAAAAAATTTTCAAATAAAATCCAGACAAACAGGCACTAGAATTATTTTAACAACATATGCATTGATAATAATAAGAATTTATTAAATGACTTATGGTTATATTTACCATACTAATTTCCATCTAACTGCTTAACTGACATTGTAACAATTGGTGGAAGACGAGATTTGAAATTTAACAAAAATACATGGAATGTTTTTTAAAACAAGCAGATAAAACTGGAAATAAGTTATCATCCAACTGGGCTGAACATACTGGGTACCTATTGGTCTTTTTAATGATGCTCTTTTATTACTGACATCTAAATGAACGACCTGGCAAAAATCGCCATCCAATGTGTTCATGACCAGCTCAATGTAACACCATTCAACAGAATAAAAAAAGCTGTAAATATTAAATATCAAATAATGAGTTTACATAAGATTTAAGTGTTAAAAAATAAACCTCATCATAGAGAAAACAACTTTGTTTTTCTCAAATGCAACAGGCAGCCACTTCCAATAATAGATTCAGTTTTAATCTATTACAAAAAAAAGACGAGAAAATTGTATCAGCAAGTAAATGCACTAATTTGTTTCTAACAAGTTTGAGACTAGAGTTGACACAAAATTATTTGACCAAAATTTTCACCGTCATTTACTTTCCCTGAAGACCAAAAAACATATTTGACTTTATTTTTGCCAAATTATCATTCACTAAATGGAAAAGCACTTATCTTGTCAAATGAAAAAAAAACAGAAACATGCAAGCTGACCACTGTTTTTAAAATTGTCCTTAAATCATTACAATTCTTCATGCTGCACCTTCTGTTCCTTAAATGCCCAGAATGCTGAGGGCAACCCTTTGGCATCACGCTCTCTTTTAGCAAATGCAGAAAATGTTGAGACGCAGTTCCCAATGAAGAAGTCTGCCTTCCCAAGGATGGCCAGATCCATGTGTGGAGAATCACTGGGATGAGTTGTCACCACTGTTTTTACCTGGAATAAAAAAATGTTATACTTTCTATGAGTATTTCAAGCATTTAGCATTCACGACCAATACAATAGTGGCTTGTAAAATGCAGGAATATCATGTCAGAAACATGGTCAAATTTTCAATGGACACAGTAGAGAAAATTGCTAAGAATTGGATAAAGACCTATCTGTGAATATCTAGTGAAAAATCAATCTGTGACCCTGGCAGAGGGTATGAAAAACACATACATACATACATACAGGTGTATATGCGCCTTTATTAAAACATGCCATGCATACACAAACAACCTTATAAAGTACATGAAGCTCTGACACCCACCTTTAACTTTTCTAAACTTTTCTTTAACTTTTGCACCATGGGATCATTATCTGTAGCTACAAACACTGCCCCTAGTTTATGTTTTTTGACAACCTTCTTAACCTGTGAGATAATAGTTTTCTCCGAAGGAAAACACAACTCTTTGGTGACTTTTCCATATTCGTTGTTATATCCCAGACACTGTGGAGCGGCAAACAACCGTGGGCTATCAGAGGCATGGTTGCAAGCATTGGACTAGAATAAAAAATAAAAATTAAATAAAATAATCATTAGAGAGTGATTAAAACTTGCCAATAAAATTTATTTTGATCTGAAAAAATGTCTTTTTATTTGGGAAACCCCTACTGTTTCTTCTTTATATATCATCATGCCCGGGTACAGGGGTGGATTTAGGCCATCTTCTGGATCTTCTGGAAGACTGTCAGATTTTCAAGTTTACATTGACGGGTATCTAAAGTTTTCTGTCGGAAGATGGTCAAAATGGAGGATGGATCAACAAAGATAATTTGGAAGACTGTCAGAAAAATAGCTCTGGATATGCCCCTGTTATATCTATGGAATTCCATGAAATAACAAATCAATACTTAGGAAAAGTGCTTTAAAGTATTCTGAAGAGCTTTCTTTAAAGGAAAAGGAAAAAGGAATCAGCTTGTAAGGATAACTGTAAAAGCATACTGATCAAAATGTGTTTACTACTAATTCATTCTGACAAGAAATGACATAAACAATGCCACCACTCCCAAAATAAGCAAACAACCAAGTTTGTTTCAGCATCCTAGCACGTCTTACAAATAAATGCATATAAAGCAATTAGATATTTCTGGTCTGAATTAGTCCAGCTGTGAACACAGCCAAACAGAACTCACTCAGTATACCTCAACTCACCCAATCAACACCATTTCTCAAATGAATCCCAAGAAAGGAATCTGTGCCAATATTTTTCTTAATAAATTCATCTGCTTTACTCTGTATACCTTTGGACCATTTCAAGTACTTATGAAGGTAGACATCTTCCTTGTTGACGGGAAAAGAGGCTGGGGCACCTGTGAAGGCTAATACAGGGTACCTGCTTACTGGATACCTAAGGAACAAATGATACAGTTATCATCACATTGGAACATTGTGGATACATTGTAATTAAAAATACATTAGAAAAATAGCTTGGCATTTCAGATTACATTCAAAATTAACAACAAAATCAATACCACACATCCATCCACAGTAATACATATACATTGTCATTTAAATGCATGTACACACAACAGGTGCATTTCAGAATCACCTAAATTAAATTCTATAGTGACCAAAAACACTGGTGTGCTAAGAAAGAGGTTCTTGAAAAATTGGTATTAACTGTTATAAATCTCAAGATTAACCAGGCCTGTAGCCAGCAATTTCAAAAGGGGGGTTCTTTTTCTGAAAAAGTGGACCTTTTTCTATAAAAACTTCATGTACCTAGGTCAAATTTTACCCAGAGTGGACCTTTTCCCAGCAAAAAGGGCGGTTCTTTCTAACCCCCCGAACCCCCCTGGCTACGGTCCTGTTAACAAATGCATACTTTTTATGCCATGCTTTGGCAGTTGATGTGCGATGTGAATCATAATACAGTGGACCATAGAACTCTGATGAATCAAAGTCGACCTTGAAAGTATTCCAGAAAGGTCCAAAAGGATTGCCATCTTTAGCATTGCAACCCTCCGAGGTAGAACCTGGCCTGGCCATGTAGCAGAAGGCTGAAAGAAAGAGGTATAATGTTAAACAACATGAAAGTTGAGTATCATAAAAGAATGTGATAAGATCATAGATGTGGTTTTTATTGGATGATTTACAGGTAGCTTTTCTTTTTTAAATTGCAATGTCAGACACCAAAATAAACACAGATGTAAAATAAAAAGTTAGACAATGTCTTAAACCTTTATACCATTGCTTCATTCACACCTGGAAAGATAAACTTGTGCTCATCCCCAATAGTATGAAAAAAGGACACTAATATGATAGAAGCTGAAGTCACCTGTTCTTTTTCCTGGTGGCCAAATTACAGGTGCCAGTTCTTTCATAAAGTTCTCCATTGTCATAACACGGTGGTAGTCTTGTAGAGGCGCTACTTGGAAATATGTGTCAAAGGGCACTTGGACCTGAGGAAACAAAAACATTGAAATACGGGGTATTCATTAAAAAACCTCCAGAACAGGCAGAGAACCCTCATTTGTTTGTTTCTAAATGAATCCCGCATCGCTGAGCATGCAATTTAATTGAATTTTAGGAGAGCATTACAAAGATCGGCAACTGCATATGTATAATATAACTGACAATAAGTTGGGGGATATTTTTGATATTTTTCTAACACAATTACCTCTGAATGAGTCTGACAATACATGTACATGCATTGTGCTTGGATGAATAACATGTATTATTCATCCAAGCATTGTGTATGATAATAACGAGTAATCAGACAATTAAGTCACAGAATATATTAAAACTTACAGAATTCCTTTCTCCTGTCCTGTACTCTACCCAAGGCGGAAGCACCAGGGTTCTGTTCAAGCCATGAGCAAATGACAGAGATCCAAGAAAGTGATCTGCCTGATTCCCAAATCGACCTATAAATTGAAAGGCAGCCATCTGAATGATATGAGCAGTCCCCCTTTAAGAGCATTATGACTACATTTTTAAGTATAAGATGTAAATGATATCCCATATCACACACACCCCTTCCCCACATGCACAGAGAGAGGGAGAGAGAAAGGCAATTTGCTATATACTCAATATATATATATATATATATATATATATATATATATATATATATATAAACTGTAGGCCTATATACATGTTGTAGCCCACTGGTTAAGTAGACGTGGCTCATATTTAAGGCAACCCCATAATTTGCATATGAACATGCACTGCAGAGCACAGCAAAAATACAATAAACTGTAGATTGAAGAGACACAATAATTAAGGCCATCTTTCCTGATAATGACGATGGTCATTATTTCAGAACTGTTAACATGACACAATAACAGATACGAGATTTCAATTTCAACAGACATTTGATGTCATGGTGGGAGAACAGCGTGCATGCATCTGCCTGTGGCGATCACTCTCGAACATTTTCCTAGAACTAATACGTACCCATACAAGGACAGTATACTACATAACCGTTTGGATCGACGTCCACAGTGTTGACAGCCTGGCTGAATATGACACTTAAAAACAACAGGAGCCACACCAATCGTTCCATCATCAGCCTCCTCTTATTCGTTGCAGTTTTGTCTATAAGTTATAACCCTATCTCTCAGCTGCAGGCTTCAATCCTATAATCCTCCAAATTGACTTTGCTCTTCTCTGTGTCTAAAAGAGGTGTTTAGACATGTTACTCGCATGTTCATCGCATCATGATCATATCTATAACTGTAGAATTCGGATTATGTTTCGGAGGAAAGAAAGACAGACATACCTGTTGAGTCTAATATCACAACTAACGCATCTGGCTTAACGGAAGTACTATTGTTAGTTCGGATGTTTATCTTGAAAAATCCCCTTCTTACACGAGGCCGTGGGTGACAATGAAGATACTATCAGTAGAGTGTGTAATTTTCCTAGCCATATTTTTACAGTGGGTAAGTAGTATGTATGTATGTAGTGCTTAGATCAAGCTCGTTTTAACTTCGTTTCGTTTCAGTTCGTTTAAACGTCAAGGGAGGTTTTCTGGTTATTTGCTTCTCTTAAATTAGAAAAGACAGATAATTAATATGACTATCTACACCAGTAGGACCGGTTCATTTTCTTGAGTGTTTTTTGTATGAATAATACAGGCAGGCTATATGCACATTGATTGTAGATCTACAATGAAGAAGTATGAATGAGTAATTATTAATGAAGAGGGTTTGTAAGGGAAAAAAAAAAGCCCCACCCAATGGGTAACGTTATTTAAAATCCCCGTTTTCTAAATATAGCAATGGCACTGTGTGACACTGAAACTGAAAAGATATGACAGCGCAGTATATACATTCCCAACTTTCATAATTCAACAGTTTAGATATATTTTATTCATTATTTCGTATTTAATTTTTATGTAAACTGTTCATTAACGATACCTTCGAGCAAGCCGTAGTCGACTGAGACGCACAGGAGGGTGAGGCAAATTTACAGGCATGTTCAAGACTGTCTATGCAAGAAAGCGGGTGTATTGATTCAAAGTGTACACATAGAATTTTTATTTGAAAGTCATTAAAGGTGGCACGTGTATAGGCTTACTGAATTATTCAGTTATGTTTTGATGAGGACTCCTGTAGTGAGCAATGTGTACTCAGATTTGAAAATAATTACACGTATACACTGTAACTATAAGACGTGGTGTATGCATACATGGTAGGGAGTTCGATACAATATTATATAAAGGCAAAGCAGCTTGCCCCATAACTTACCTTAATCTTATTGCTATGAAAATATATGTTTTTAAAGCACAAAACACCCATTTGTTCCATTTTTTCACCACCCATTCGTTTCTGCATGGTTGAGGACAAGGGTGTGGACTAGTGCTAGCATTTTTGATATTTTTTAAAGGGGAAATGAGCCTCTGTAATGGATATCTTTGTTCTTTTGACAAAGACATTGTGTCAGCTCAGCACTGATAAAGCACAAGAAAATTAATTCTTGACATTGGATAGTTATTCTGTAAGCACTTATTAAAAAGCTGTTAAAACGGTATTGATAGCTGTACAGGTGAGGGGGATCTGTTTGAAATTGATACTAGTTCCCCCCCCCCCCCCCCCCCCTCAAAAAAGTGTTAGAAATTCTATCTCCAGTTTTGATGCAATAGAATTATCTCATGGCATGACAATATTTATATCCTCATTATCTAAGCGGGTATGGAAAAAAATCCAACCTATTGATCCCCTTAAACGCAAAAAAGTGGTTATAACTCATGTCATTTTAACACCATTGAGTTCTTTTGAAATATTCATCACAGTGTCATTTTGGTCTTATGTGTGTATTCATATGATTTTATAATGCTACTGTGATAGTTACTGTGACTTTGTGCCTTTAGACAATCAATAACTAAGAGCGCATTCACAACGAGTTGAGCCAGATTTTACAAATCATAGGGACTAAATATGGCGGACGTACATGAAAGAAAAACCACCTAATCTTTTAATAGTCTCTCCGCCTCTCACACGCCTCCCCAACATCGTCCCTGCGGGGGGACAGTCATTAAATCTTGGCTCCATTGGGACGACACATGGGAGGCGTGTGAGAGGCGGAGAGACTATTAAAAGATTAGGCGGTTTTTCTTTCATG